AAGAAGTACAAATTCATTCCGGTAAAAAGTCGGTGCTTATCTGCACTAGCAACAAGCACCTATCTGCTTTGTCTGTGTGCGGGAGCATTTGAACGTGAATTCAATTATTGGTGTCTATAGGCGCTTGTTACCAGCAAGCAGGCAACCTGCGTTCTTTGTGTGCGTACCCTTAGCGGTAATATCAACTTGAGGCCTGATGTTCCCGTTACTCTCTCCAAAACCTTTCATTCCTTGCTGGAGCACATATTTTAATGATAAACATCAACAGGGAAAACCAATCACCTCATTATAGAATGGGTCTATGACAATTCGTCGTAAGTCAATTCGTCGTACATAAATTTGTTGTAAAGTCAATTCGTCGTAAAGTCAATCCGTCGTAGAGTCAATTCGTCGTATACGTCAATTCGTCGTGGCGTTAATTCGTCGTATACGTCAATTCATCGTATGGCTAATTTGTTGTAAAGCGGCGTTTCCACAAGCATAGTTTATTGGCGCCAGTCCACGTGCCAGTTTGCAGGCGTAATAATAGTGGCGCCAGTTTCTGTTTCCACTTGATATTAAAAATTTTTAACTGGCGCAGTAGAAAAATGAAAAATGGCGTCAACTTCAATGTTGCTGTGAATATTTTGTTTCTAGAATTATTACAGAAGACTCGAAAAAACAAGAAAAAGAAACATAAGCATAAGATCTGGGTACGAAAATGGATTTCACGCAGAAAAGCTCTAGGAGAATCAAATAATTTACTGAGTTAACGGATGGAGACCGCATGAGGAATTTTCAAAGCTTCTTATTTTGCTTTCGGCGGCAGTGATATCTAAACCACTTAAGAACCCGGGAACTCGCACAATACGTCAACACTTATCCTTATAGCATCATCCCGTTTATTTCTAGCTTTGTAACACAAAATTTTGTGATTCCACAAACAGGGATGCTCTTCCATAAACTTTATATGTGCAATTTTTTAGATTCACTTGACGATTTCATTACTTTTCTGAAAACGAATAGTGAAAACCTTTGTATTTTTTTTGACAAACTGTCACACATGGCAAACTGGCGCCAAAAAGTAGACCTCGATTCTACTTTACTGGCGCATGAATAAGTGGCGCAAGTTAACTGGCGCCAGCTAATTTTCCGAGTTTCCACGCGCCAATAAACTCTGCATGTGGAAACGCCGCTTAAAGGTGATTTGTCGTATACGCCAATTCGTCGTATTTCAGGTATAATGTTGAAATGTATAAGTTTACACTTTTTCTGTAGAATCAGACATTACCAAATTCACCGATGATAACCCGGTTAGTTTGGGTTAGTTTGCAATTTCAATCAGACATCACATTGCAAACTAACCGGGTTATTATCGGTAAGTTTGATAATTTCTGATTAAAATTGCGAACTAATAACACGGTGGCTACCACATGAGTCACCAGTGATGTTTGACCTAATTCACCTCAATACGAGCTAGTCGACGTTATTTTACGACAAATTGAATTTACGACGAAATGACGTACAAGACGAACTGATTTTACGGCGAATTGACGTATACGACGAATTGACGTATACGACGAATTGACTTTACGACGAATTGACGTACGACGAGTTGACGTACGACGAATTGACGGCAACCCCTATAGAATATAGATTCACCGACGGATAAGTGTACAAACACAGTGCAAGCAGGTTTCCGCTTACCGGTAACCAGCGCCGACTCGCGCTTTTTAAATCGGCTAGAACACAGTAAAAAGCAGATACTCCACCTGTTTGTTACTGTGTACTAGCCGATTTGAAAAAATGCACTTATTTTTGGCGCTTATAATCGCGACTCGGCTCTGGTTACTGGTAAGCGGAAACCTGCTTGCTTTGTGCTTGTACACTAACTGACCAAGCGCAAATCATGCTCGCAAGGTAGGTAATGAACATGTATCCTGACAAGTTGCAATTTACAATAATGTAAACTTTTCCAGATCCAATTTATGACTTATCTGGTACATACTTACTCGAGTTATCCTTTGGTATCGAAGCCATTAAAAATTTGTACCGAAAGAAAAACCTCCTTCCTTCTTTTAGTAGGCGCTTGATCTGACAGAGCAGGACTTTACCCATAGCTTGTTAGTTACATGAGACGCCAGCGAGGTGAATCAACTGAGACAACCCTACACAGTCTTGTCACAAAGATTGAAAGCGCACACTTAAGTCAATGAACCGCTCTATGTGCATTCATTGATATAGAGGGAGCTTTCGATAACACCTCACATGAGTCCATGAGAAGCGCGGCTAAAAATAAGGACTTTGACGAAACTACAATTGCATGGATTAAAGCCATGCTTGAGAATAGGAAAATCAAAGCAATGGTCTCAGCAGTCAAGGGATGCCCTCAAGAAGTGCACTGTCCCCACTGCTGTGGTTACTGGTAGTAGATGAACTTCTCCTCGCCTAAGCGCCAAAAGGAATCACGGTCCTAGGATATGCTGACGACCTCACAGTCGTCATTAGGGGTAAGCATAACAGGATCATTAGTGACCTCATGCAAAATGCAATAAATTGTCATTATCAGATAGTTTCTACAGAACGGTTCAGGCCAGGCGTCACCCCCAACAATACCATAATTGTACCAAAATTGTACTTTTTACAAGGAAAAGCAGTCTAAATCATCTAACAGCCTCAACCTTAAATAGCATACAAATCAACTCGGCAAGTGAGGGTAAATATCTAGGAGTCAACTTGAATCGGAAATCCTCTTGGAACAAACATCTTAAAAGAGTAACCGACCGGCAATAGCCACATACTGGACATGCCAGAGATTATTCAGCAAGACTTGGGGTCTAAAGGCAAAAATGATGCATTGGTTATTTACAGTAGATATAAGACCCATGGTCACTTACCCTGCTATAGTATGGTGACCCAAGACAGCGCAAAACCGATTGGCAACTGTACAAAGGTAAGGTATGCATGTCTTGAAATTACAGGAGCAATGAACACCTGTCCAACCGCCCTAATGAAGGTCATGTTGGGCCTTCCCCCAGTAGATATAATAGTGAGGACAGAGGTCTATATGGGAGCCTCGAGAATAAAACAGTCCCTTTAGCTGAAGAAAGGGGACTTTGTCGGCGACATGAGCATTATGAAAGAATGCATAAATGTGACCACAAAACCAGATGACCAGATGCAATACAGGTACGAATTTGAATACTCCTTCAAAGTGACTTTGCAACTATTGAGGGCCGCAAGGAAGAAAATATCTTACCTGTATTTCCGAACATGTCATCTCAGAGACCTGCGGAGAGCGAAGATGTAAGGTATATCAATACCGATAGTCAGGCAGCACTAAGAGCTCTGAGTAGCTCTGTCACTAAATCCAGACTGGTATGGGACTCCCAACATCTACTGAAGAAACTGGCGTCTCGGAGTAGTCACCCTTTCATGGATACCAGGGCACCAAGAATTCGAAGGAAATGAAATAGCGGACCAACTTGCAAGAGAAGAAGCTGCAACACCATTTCTTGGACCAGAACCTTTCTTTGGCATTACGAAAAGCCATATGATAGGGAAAGTCCAAAATTGGGAGAAAAGGCAAAGGAAAATAAGGAAATGATTGTCCTCAGTAAAGCGGATCTAAGGCTGCTAACAAGACTCCTTACTGGTCACTGCCCTTTGGGTTACCACGTGGAAAAGATGGGCAAAACAGAAATAAACTTATGCCGTTTCTGTCAAGAAGCCTCTGAGTATGCGGAACACATACTTTTCAATTGCAACATCTGGAGCAGCCCTATGAGCATTATCGGCTTTGCCAAACGCCTTAATCTATTCATAAGGGGAAGCACAGGTCCATAACCTACACATCATTACCATCACAATCTACAATCTACATAAGAGGAAGAATATCTAGATAGAACCAACTAAAAAGAAGCCGTGACGTCATCACTGAAGGAGAATGCAAATTTCCTTTTCTGTAGGGCCCTCCCATCTGAAGTGAGACAAAAGATCACGCGGTGGTAGAAATTCATTATTACAGACCCGCTCAAGCCTTCTCCTCTGTAACTCGAAAAAAGGGTTTCGGATCAAGGATTAAGGAACAATGCTGAAGGACGCAATACGAGCCAATGGAACGTGTATGCTCTTGAGTCATTCATATGATTAGCGATTCTTTTGATTATACAACTCACTGTACATTATTCCCATATGACACGAGAGGATTAATAAGTGATAATCCTTCCCATATGACACGAAAGGCTTAATAAGTGATAATCCTTTTGCACGGTAACTGGTGTTTTGACATTTTTTGACAAAAAATTAAAATTTTTGATTCATGAAATTATCAATTAATAAAGAATTAAAGTTTAGTTCGTTGTATAACCTACTCTTTCCAAGAATTTGAATACCACTCGATTTTTCAGGATTACCTAATACTTTTACCTGACACTCAACGCGTTACCAGCAACACCACTCCTCCTTCGGAGTCGCGGTGTTGCTGCGTAACGCGTTTCGTGACAGGTAAAAGTATTATCTGGTAATCCTGAAACCTCTTGTGGTATTACATTCGATAAGTCCCATTATTCGAAGTGCCTTGATATACCTACTGTTGATTTGTGGCATGTGGAGATTGAAGGCGAATGGTTTGTCAAATATTACCAGGATCTCTGAATTTGTAATAACTGATGGGCATGCCTGAAGAAATGTTAATTGATCCATAACCAAGAGGTGAAGACGTCTGAGAATCACTCTTGAAACTGATCATCAGTTTTAGCTTGATAACGACTGCAAAGAGATACTCAACCGGTCGAAATCGAAACCAGAACTATAACTAATTAGTAAGAAAAACAAACTCAAATTAACGTCTAACGTCTGGTTAATGAATAGGTTCCCATAAATAGTGCAAGGCGGGCTCATGATTAGACAATGCGGTAATGCTAAAAGACATATTCCTATCTTTCCCTTCCTCCCGTGAAAATGATTTTCCTTTATGCACCAAATATTGCTCTTCAAAACAACATAAATTATTATATTACCAGGCACTACAGCTACTGCTTCCCTAGAAGCCTTCTTAATCTCTTTACTAGCACTAGCTTTGGGTTTGGTTTCTCTGGAACCTGGAGCGAATAATTTGAACTCGTTGGGCAAATCTTCATCGCTACGAATTTGATCGGTGAAATAGATCCTTCTTATTCTTGTGTTGGCATGTATTTGAACCCTTATAGTTTCTATATAGGTGGATGCTACACGGAAAAATAACCTAAATTAGAAATAATCTAAAAACCATAATTAAAGGCTTCACCGTAGGCTCTCTTAGTGAAATCGGCCAAATTAAAAATCACCTCGTTCCATTTGGCGGTCAAACCGATGGGCATCGAAGTGCAGAAAGGACGCACTTTCGTCGTAGATTGAAAATTCGACACTCTAAATCTTCGGCGCATGTCTTTGTCGTCTGAAAAATTTTAAAAAATCAGTTAAATTAGACCCATTAATTTTCGATTCATCATTTTCTCGTATTTGAGCCGGAATACAATGTTAATTGCTAAAAGCGTCAATCTTCGTTAAGGGCGCATTAATATAATACTAGAAATTGATTTTATCCATTACGATTCCGACTGGTGCTCATCGGAGGCTTTTCTGAGGGGATTTGTAAATTACTAATTTGTTTGGCGTCGTAATTTTGCTCACTTTGGGTATTTCTCAGGAGAATACAGAGTCAAAGGTAGAGCGTAGGTAACATCGAAATGGAAGTTTTATTAAATATGCTTTAATACATCAATGCAATTTTAAAAAAAAATCTCTATTAGATAAGAGTATAATTTCATTACGTCTGCTATTGTGACTAGGTAACTGAAGTGTTGGGATATCTCATAAAATACAAGAAGGCGGAGGACATCCTCTATATTATAGCAGCCCAAGAACTGGATTCCATTTGCCCTAACGAAAACACCAAATTGTGACAAGATTTGGAAGTTGCTTATAAATCCTGGAATGGATAAGTTCGGACATAGAAGAAGAACAAGAAGCTATTAGTCTAGGAGGCAGTGACGATTTTCGGTACTAATTTTCCCAGTAACAAAACATGGGTAGAATTGTAGGGTTAGTAGTAATTCTAAGCAAAATTCATATATTTTTAGGGGAGGTTTTCGGATAGGTTGAGTGTTGACTGTTGAGGCGCAAAATGCGTCAGAGCTCAAAAATGCACGGCCCTTTTTTTTCCAGTGATAAAAATAGCTCTACTAATGAGAGGTACCTACTGAAGTTACGTAAAAAAATAGTCCGGCTAATCTGTGAGTATGAATGATACGTCTGGCAAGTGAAAAATTGAAGATCCGAAAATTTTCATCCAAACTCACTTTCCACTATCTGAGATAACCCAAATTGCTATTTTCATGTACCTACCTACTTTATATTCTAGTGTAGTAAATGTGAAATATTTGTGACTGGGAAAATAAGTGTATTTTTTTTTACTTGTGTTTCTCATTGATCTTGTGAACCCATCCGAAAATTTTAGCCAGACTCAAAAATGCTTGTTTTGTATCACCAAGAGAACAAACTTGTGACGGAACTAGCTATTGCCCCTTTTTGGGCTTTAGTCAAACCGCACCAGGGATGCCAAAAGTTTTTACTTTGACTGACTGTAAAAACTAACCAGGTGTTGGATCATTTAAGCCTTGTATTGGGTTAGGGGTGCCTTGATTCTCATTTATATAAATAAAACGCTGAAATAGAATAGTTATCAATTTAATTAATAAATGAAAGTAATTCGGTATGGTTATCAATAAAATCCTATCTAAAAATTCCTACTTGGACGTCCATTCGAACTACAAATTTTATACTAATATAAAGTAAATAAGTATCTTGATTTATGAAAAGTAGGGAAATCTGATAATGATAATAATATCATTTATGGTTAAATTTTCAATATACGAGAACACAAATTAACTAATCAAATGCACGAGATCACAACATAAATAATTCGTCAACTTCAATCAGTTCACTGCAATCACAAAATGTTTATTGATCCTTGAAAGTTCTTCTATTTATTGAGAGTTAACAATTTGAGCACTTTTCTGCTGAAGTCTGTAAACATTGTGCAAGAATAGTATATTATATACCTAGGTAGAGAAGTTGGTCATTATATATACCGAACGCTTTTATAAACCGAGGCGCAAAGCGCCGAGGTTTATAATGCGTGAGGTATATAATGACTTTCTCTACCGAGGAATATATAGAATTTTTTTTACTACTGCTAGTAGAAAATAAAAAATTTGCTTAAAATCTGTGCTCTAATTATTTTTTTTTGAACGCCCTCTTGAAAGTGCTGCCCTCTATCAACAGCTTATGATAACTTCCTATGTATCTACAGAAACCTGTATTTTGTTTTAAATTGACGCATGAAATTGAAATTGGGCCAATAGAAACATGACAATATCCTTGCGTCATGACGTCATTTTCATTATTGACCTAGGGACTTTTTCATTATTTTCATTATTCACCTAGGGAGAGAAATTCAATTTTTTCCTAGAAAAATAGATTGAATAATGACTATTTCTCAGGTAAGTAGTAAAAAAAAGTCTTAATATATATGCTCAGTTTCTATATACAAATGTACAAATGTTAATTTCGCGAGTGTGGAAACCAAATTTCTGCATTAAAGGTTAGAAAAGACTTCAATTTATAGTGCATTTCAAGCGAATCACTAATAGTATATTATATAATAAGTGTGGTAACTAGGTTATTACCGCACGCGAGAGAAATTTGCAAACCGAGCCGGTGAGGCGAGGTTTGCAATCTCTAAGGGCGGTAATAACCTAATTACCATACGAATTATATACAGTATTTTATCTACAAGCGTGCGGTAACAAAATATCCGAGAAAATTTTAAAAAATTACAGTAAATGAAATTCCGTCTCTGGATGTTTGTCATCTTTGACAGAGAACACGTAGAATCTAGGTGATTGATAGGTAGGTAATTGAAGGTACGTATTTGATACTCAAATCAATATACCATATGTTATGTTAAAACACGACAATTGATATCATTGCTAAGAACATACATACACAGATAAAGATTTATAAGTCGTCATTCGTCATTGGGTTCGTCATTTTCGCACTAAAAGCTCCAAAAAATGGATTCAAGTGATTCTGATAACGAAATTTCAAGACTCGTTAAGCAGGTAACCGAAGATCTGTTACCACAGAAGTCCGGCGTCCGTTACGAAAAAGAATATGAGGCTTTTTTACAATGGTGCTCATTTAAAAAAGTACTGGAAATAAGTGAAGATGTTTTAATTGCGTATTTTGAAGACAAATTCAAGGACAAGAAAGCCTCTTCACTATGGTGCTACTATTCGATGTTGAAGGCAACTTTATCTGTGAAAAACAACATTAGTATCAACAAGTTCCCAAGATTGATTGCATACCTGAAAAAAAAGTCTGTTGGATACAGGGCTAAGAAATCCAATGTTTTCCAGCGAGAAGATATAGACTATTTCTTTGATGAAGCACCAGATGTTAACTTCTTATTGTTAAAGGTAGGAAATAGGGATATCCCTATATTTTTAGTTTGAAGCAGTTTGTATTTAAAATATTATTGTAGTACCACCACCGCAGAAACGCAAATTTATTCCCACCTTATGTAATTTATTTTTTGTTGCAGGTTGTGCTCGCTATAGGCATAGCGGGAGCTTGCCGAAGAGAGGAAATAACAAAAATGACAATAGACGACGTCAAGGAGCAAGGGGACATTATTTTAATAAACATTCCCGATTCAAAAACATATACTTCTAGAAAATTTATCTTGTGTGGTCGAGGCCAAGAATACCTTAAGAAATATCTGGACTTGAGGCCCCCACAGGTGACAACTCGAAGACTCTTTTTAAATTATAAAAAAGGCAAGTGTATTTCACAAGTAGTTGGGATAAATTCTATAGGAAAAATGCCGAGTCAAATTGCATCTTTTTTGCACTTGCCAAATCCCGACATGTACACCGGCCACTGTTTCAGACGGTCGTCGGCCACCCTGTTGGCAGATGCAGGGGGTGACCTTATGACCCTAAAGCGTCACGGTGGCTGGAAGTCGTCTAGCGTAGCAGAAGGGTATGTGGAAGAGTCAGTACAAAACAAGATGGAAATTGCAAAAAAGATTACTGGAGCTACCCACAATACGGTTCAGGTTCAGCAAGAAAGCTGCCGAAAAGTCACTGAAGCTGTGGTGGAGGAAAGCTGCTCACAATCATTGACATCAGTTTTTACAAATGCTGGTGAAGTTCCATGTTTAAAAATTTAAAATATGACAAATTCGTCAATTATCATAAAAATTAAAAAAATCATTTTTTATAATATCATTTTTAGGGCAAAGCGTCTTAAGTTAGTTATTAATTTGTTGTTATTTGTATAATAAAGAAAATAAAATATATATTTTGTCATTATTTTATACAGAGTGCGGTAATATGGTACTTACCGCACGCAAAATCGTGTAATATACCTTAGTTACCGCACCAGGGCCGTAGCTAGAGTCAAATTTAAGATAGGGCATGACAAATTCGACATAGGGCATACACTACTTGCCCCCCCCCCCCCCCACCCCCCTAAATTTTTTAAAGGTAAACAAATTTTTTCAATAAATCAAGGTTCAGGTTGTATGGTAATGGGTAACTTGATGACGCATCAAGGTATGTATAATGTATGGTAAAGTATGGTAATGGGTAACTTGATGACGCATCTGATCTGGGATACCTTATAGAGATTTGCATTATGTTGAGGCACCCCAGATGACGTCATAAAGTTACCAGTGGGCGTATTCTGTATCGTCATATAGGGAAGAAATTTCTTTCTATAAGTATAGAGAGGAAATTTCTTTCTATTTCTTGAACTTATTCTGTACCATTTTTTCTATGCCCGGTCGGGTATTCTCGGCTATAGAGAAATGTGTATTATTTGATATAAAAACATTGACTTGTAATCAGGGAATTTGGGATACTTTTTTGATTAGGTTGGTAACAAAAGCAATATTTATTTACATTTTTATGTTAGGAGCTTCGCGAATTATTAAGTGACAGTTTGTATCTTTCATTGTGAATTGTAACATTTTCGATACGTTCAAGTGGTAAGTCTGTGTGGTTATTATAAACCATATAGGTACCTAATATCTGATTCTATAGTTTTCGTTTTTTAGTGGGGGCTTATTATAAAGTATGGACCCAATATTCCTTCATTTGCTACAGGTAGCAGAAGATGAAGAAGGACAAAACCAATTTCGTTTGGAGAGAAGACTTTTGCGAGACCAAGAAAATGCTTTTGAATTGCCCGAGCGAGAATTTCGGAAATGCTTCAGGCTAAGTCGACAGCTAGTTCAAAATCTCATTCGTGATCTTACCCCCCATATGAATGCAGGAGCTAGAGCAACAAGAGTTCCTATCCATATAAGGATTTTAGGTGCCCTGAGGT